AATAAAAGAGGTTGAAGAAAAATAATAATGGCGTTGATTCTTTAATAATTAGTTTCTTTATGTTGTACAATTTTGGTGATCAATTTAATTTTTCACAAAACTTATATCAGCAAAACTATTTCTCTTGGGAATTAGTGCTATAAGATATGAAATAATTATATTTGTTATATTTTTGTACTTCAGACAATATTATGAAAATGGAAATTGAAATATTACAACACTGTTTATGAAGCACTTATCATTTAGCAAATAAATTTTGTTCTTCAAAATTATATAATATGTCTTTCTACAGTAAAACATTTATGATATTTTCAAAAAAAATTCTTACCTTTGACATCTTAAGCCTCCATTTTAATCATTTTCATTGACTGCTGGTCTTTTGCTGATGTTGGATTTACCTAAAAATAGAAATAATAATTTATTATATTTGCATATTTTGCAACAAAGAAAAACATTTAACCAGATCCGATACGACTTTTAGTGATAAAATCGAAATCAAAACAAATTGTAAGTAAATTAAAAATATGGTAACAATTAATGTAATAGAATTCTAGGAATAAAATGATGTTTGTTTCTTAATCAATGAAATTAAGTGAATAATAGAGCTAATTGAATAGGAAATAAAAAAAAATCTTAATTTTACCTGTTCTTAATTTGAGTGCTGTTATTAGATAATTTTCCTTTACTGAACCACTTCTCCATTTAATATCTGGAATAAAAAGAGTACTTAATGTAATTGAGATTTCACACTTAGAATATAAATCATATCTCAAAAACATTTAACTTTTATTAAATTGGAATGTACTGAACTTGAAGTGATGAAGCAAAATGAATCGACAATTTAAGCTTTTAAGCTTTTCAGAATTGAACAATATTTAAATATTAACAAAAATGATGATTACATTCTCTAAAATTGCGACTAAATAAAGTTTTTAATTCAAATGGCACCATTTTCTAATTCTCATACCAATTTGTCAAAACTTATTCCATAAAATTACAAAAAAATCATAAAAGCTTTGCATTCACATCAGTTAAAAATCAGAAGAACATTATATATAGAGTAAGCTAAATTATATTATCTGCTGTACTGCATACAGCCAAGTTAATCAAAAGCTTAGCTTTTATTAAATTAATTGATGCGTGAACAATCGAGGATTCAAATTATAAGCAATTTCTAATTTTTACCGGGTAATTATAACATCTGTAGTTCGGAATGGCTTACACCAAAAACAAAATCACTTCGTAATTATTCTACGTAGCACATATAATTAAACCTTCACTCACCTGAAGAACTAGTCACACAAGCATTGCGCAAAAGCACAAACATAAATATTTAATGACACTAATATTAAAAATTTCTCATTTTAATCAGAGCACAATCTTAGTATTCCGCCATTTTAATCGAGAACAGAGTCGCTTGTGCAAGTTTGGCGGAAATCGTATATCAACATAAAGGAAAGATCACACATACAGTAGCCGTATATAACTGTTTCTCCATAGATGTGCACAAGAGCGATGGTGCTGCCATCTACATTTTTTCAAATGCGAAGCATTGTCATATTAAATTCATTGAGCGTGAAAAATAAAGAATAATTTTAACCCGTAGAAAATAGAGTTAGAAATCATAAAGAAACACAAAAAGTAAACAATTTGTATTTTTTTCAAATAAAATTAATCCAATATAGAACTTTTCACTTGTCTCCAGCAACAACTATATTATCTTTGCACGACTTATGCAACATCTATATAAATTTCAGTTAAAAGCAATCAAGCCCAAAATGACTTATATCCAACCACAAATTGATTTATAATTATTAATATTAATAATATGACGATTATATACTGTGCACAAAAAGTGAATTCATTCTTTCTGAATGATAAGGTTTTAGTATAATGAATTTAAAATTGAAGTAAAAAAGAGACTAATAATGACGTTCATTCAGTAATGATGAATTTTTGTTATACATTTTTTTGGAAACTAAGTTACTTTAATAATTGCTTTTGTTATAATATTTCTGTACTTTAGACAATGAGAATTGACACATTTCATTGACACTTGTCATTGACAAAACATTTTTTTCTCTTCAAATGTATATAAAATTTCCCTTTACTTTATTTTTAGAGTGAAACATTTATATTGAGAAAGAATTCTTACCTTTGATATTTTACACTTCCATTGATCCATTTCATTGAGTACTGGTCTTTTGCTAATATTGGATTTATCTAAAAATAGAAAGAAATAATTAATTCTAATTGTACATTTCAAATAATAACTTCTTACAATATAACTTTTAGTGATAAAATCAGAAGTAAAACAAATTGTAAGTAAACTTAGAAAATGGTAACAAATGTAGTAATAAACTGACTGTATAGCCATTCTATAATAAGATGAATATAGCATATAGCCACTCTATAATAAGAGAATAATCTTAGTTTTTTTTAATTAGGTGAATAATAGAGCTAATTAAATAGGAAATCCTAAGAAGCTTTAGTTTTACCT